GTTTTCCGCGGAGAGAGCGAGGAGAGAGAGAGAGAGAGAGAGAGAGAGAGAGAGAGAGAGAGAGGGAGAATATAAATTTTTTAATCAAAGTGGCCTTTATTGGTCCATGAGCGGCTCATTCATCGGGTTGGTAACATCCTGACGTAAACCTGTCTCCCATACAAGCACTTTGTAAAGCAAAATCAAGAAATTTTTGGTTTTTCTGCTTGAGATCCTTAACATACTTAATGCTTCTCTTCTTATTTTCCCAGTTGCACTATAATGTCTTTCAAAACCTTCTTGGAAACTAAAGATTAATGAATGTGCTGTGCAAAGTTTATATGAAATAAAGCACCCTTCCATTATAAGGGCATCAGGCAATTAATGGGATTTTTTTTAGATAATCTACCAATATTATTTGCGAGCATTATCAAGTATACTAAATAGCTTGTTCTCTATTTTCCATTCACCAGAAGCACTGTACTGCTCAAGCAATGAAATTCCATCATGGGGAGGTGGCATTGAATGAAAAAGTAATATTTTCTTTTGCAATGCAAAATCATTATCAAATATTAATGAGCGTCAAACAAATAAAACATCAGTATTTTATAATGTCAAGGTGGATGTTAACAATTTCTGCTAGTGACTTTAAGATACTGTTTCATTAATTACACTTCTCGTCTTAAGGAATAAATTTTTTTGCAATATTTCTGAGTGTTTCTAGAAATTAATTGCAAGTCACGGCGAAGATATACAGAATGCTCGAAGCCAAACCCTTCCACCATTGAAAAGGTTAAATCTGCTGATGAATAGGAGCAGTAACGAGTCTTGAAATTCAGAGCATGAACACTTGTATCACAATAGATAATTGATGATTCACAGTGTTGGTTTGTAAATCAACTGTCCTATATCAGCGTAATTTCTTTTTCTTACATTTTTAAGGTGGCGTCTAAGGATTACTGAAACTATTAGAAAAAAGGGATTTCAAATCTTCCAATGAGAATTGATCTCATGGATTGATGAGGTGTAATAGGGATCAAATTAATTTAATATAATTAATTAAATGCATTTAATAGATGGTTTTCTTAAAATAAAATCCCTAAGGGGGGAATTTTCTAAAATAAAATTCTTGAGGGATTTAAATTTTGGAAAGTGAGGGGGTTAATTAATTAATTAACTTAACTTAATTAAATACCAATAGTATAATTAATATAATTAATAATTAATTAACACACAAAATATAAAATTTATATGTGAGTTATTTTAAGGGAAGTTTTTGAAATTTTAAAAATTATGAAAATCAAAGTGCAAATTCTAATAATAAATAACGTGAAATTATAAATTTTGAAAATTGAAATCACATGAAGTCATGAGACCTGTCAAACAAATAATGATAAGCACAAATTGAACTAGATAGAAAACTTACCATACATAAACCTAGTTTCACATTAAAATAAAAATGAGTTATCAAGTGTATATAATTTATAACTAGACTCATATCCCATGTAGTTTGATTCACCTTCGATCAAACTTGATGCTTTTTTTAGTCATAACTTTTTTTTATCTCGTAGAGATGAGGATGCTCAGGTGGATGAGTGGCTTTACCCTTAGAGATAGGATACGAAATGAGCATATACGTGAAAAGGTTGGAGTAGCTCTAGTAGAAGATAAGATTAGAGAGAGTCGCCTTAGATGGTTTGGTCACATAAAAAGGCGACCTTCTGATGATTCGGTTAGGAGAGTAGAGGTATTAGATTTGACTTGTGTTAAGAAAGGTAGGGGTAGACCTAAAAAGACTTCGTTAGAAAATATTAGGAATAACCTTTCTTTATTAGATTTAAACGATAATTTGACTTTTAATAGGACACAATGGAGAAAAATGATTCATGTAGCCGACCCCACGTAGTGGGATAAAGGCTTGATGTTGTTGTTGTTGTATGTGATCTAATTAAAATACTAGAATTAATTTCTGGTTTAAATGATCGTACAGTACAATTTAACAGAAAAATTCAAATATTCAATTGTCAACACCCTTTCGAGTGTGTAATTGATTATCTAGCCAACATGCACCTAATCCATCAAATGACTCAAGAAAAAAGAAAAAATACATACTCTTATTATTGCCTTAAATCTTAGTGTTGCACTATCTTGAATCTGTTTTGTTATGTCAACTCAGAGTACGTTGTACCTAAAAATGTTAGTGACACAAAAGAAACAAATAATGTATATAAAATAGGAATAAATAAATAATCACATCAATAATATTTGTAATCATCAAAATACAAGGCTCGACTAGGTTTTCAACATATTAAATAATTTTTTAATTTTAGTCACTTAATACTCTCAAAATTAAATCATCTTAGGCTCATCAAAATCACTAGTTAAATCATTCGTTTTGCCTATAAATAACAAAATCTAAAATAGGTTTGATCACTCAATTTACCTTGACAAAAAATTTCAAGTATACTGTTGATTACTTAATTTAGACCCAATTGCAATCACATTAGTGTGCTCTTGTTATTCATAGATTAATCTCTATTCAAACAATGTATGTTTGCTAAAAGTAGGGATCAAATGATCCCATAATTAATATTGAAAATTTATAACCCCTACTTATCAATGGCAAATAGCGCACCATAACACAAATGTCTCCATGGAGCTATCAGGCATAACGCACAGTGTGACGCACTCTATTTTAGACAAGCCACGAAATACTAAAAAATATTAATTTGCCACAAAAATAATATAATTAATTATAAAAGACTATTAAATTGAAAAATAAACTATTATTTTGACACAAAAAAAATACATCACACAATTGCTATCACATTCTTTTACTAAGATTATGTATTTCCATTCATAGTCTTTCTTTGGAGTTTGAACTAAATCCAACAATTTTTCAAATACTTAATAATGATAGAGGCAACTTGATATGTCATCAAAAAATTATCTTGATCGAGAATGAATCTTGATGCAAATATGACATAGAAACTTCCAAAATGAAATCTATGACCATCCAAACTCCGATTTCAGCAAACTTATAGTCAAACTGAATGTCTCAAAGAGACGAACCCAACGACGCTAAAATCGGTCCAATCTGAACCCAAATTGGTCCAAATATAGGGCCTGGAGCCTATTTGAAAGTTTCAAAACATTAATTAGATGACCAAATGATATCAAAATGTGACATGCTTATAGTCAAATCAAGCGGCTCGAGAAGATGAATCCAACGAGCCCAAGATCGTCAAATTTTGACATCATTAAGACACTCAAATGCTCAATAAACGATCCATGACTGAGGGAGTTGATATTGGTTGTCCATTAAAACACTCCCAACATGCCCTTGATCTTCTTCATATTTGCTAGCCATGTCACTCCCAAAAAATTATAAATAAACCCTTCATTCTTCATGAGGGGGAGATAAAAAACAACGGGTCTCTCTTGATTTCTCAAGCTTGCATCACTAGCCAAATCTCTTCTCAACCACCAACCGTCGTTGGACTTCCAGCTATTCATTGATTGTTGTTGGATCTTTTTACCAGCAATCAAACATTTCTAGATATCTACTTAACAACTAATTAATATTAAATCTCCAACCATCGCTAGACATTGATGGAACATTCTCTGTTATTTAATCTACATCAAGGGGACCAATCTTTTGAAGTTTGGAAATCTCTTTAGCATATTGTCTTCTCCCTGACATTGAGTTAAGGGATGAGTTGACGTCGTTCAACTACAGTCCTTCTGACCACTGTTGTTTGCCGACTACGATCTTTCTAGCCACTATCACCTGCCAACTACGGTCCTTCCGACCACCATCGTTTGCCGACTTTGTTCCTTCACGAACACCGATGTCCGCTGACTACAATCATATTGACAAAATAAATATGACAACATTCTCTTCAGAACTGCTGCCAAGTTATGCTCTCTATGCAATGTGTATATGCTACATTGAGTCAGCACCCTCCTCTAATGAGGGATATTATTTGTAATCAACCATCAATACTAATGGATTCATTCAAACTAGGTCAAGCCTCATAGTTTTTTCCCTTTTCAAAGTTTTTCACGTAAAAATCTTGTTGTCTCCTATGAGTATTGCACCCTAATATTTTATCTGTTTATGTGCTAGACCTTCGTACAAAACTAGGACGCCAAACTTTACATATCTCTACCACCGTGAATATTCTAGGACGCAGCACAACTAATACTAAAATGTATACACTAAAAAATTTAACAACAAAATAGAAGTCATAAATAACAAAATTGGTGTCAAAGGCGAGAAAGAATGCCTTTGTTGAGGCCATCTCAAGCTTGTTAGTTGAATTATGAATACTTGAAGGTTGTTTGTGTCCTGTTGAAGACAAGGTGTGCTAAAATAAGCAGTGAAATTCAAGTTGAAGGGTGAAGACAAGTCACGCACCCTGCTGTGCAGGTAAGACAAGGCATGCGACTACGTTATGTGGCCAAGATGATGCTGAAGGGATGAAACTAATACATTGAGTGCAATCTCCTAGCTGAGCGGGATGAGGTACCCTAGCTTAGCGGGACAAAGTAAAATAAGTTGTATATGGACCCTAACAAAAATAAAAAGTTAAATAATAAATAATTTAAGTTTTCGTTTATAACTCTAATTATCAAATTTAAATTCGCGCAAGATATGGGTGTTGTGCGCCATGCACTATTACCCATGAATAGCACAAACAGCACATGCTATTTTGAGCCTATGCACTGTACCATGAAAAATGGCTCAAATTGTACACCACACCACACAATGCATTATGGTGCAAATATTTTATACTATTGACACGTATATTATGGCTTAATTACTTAGATACTTTGACATATGAAAATTATATCGAAATAAAATTTATATGACATATCACTAGTAAAATTTTGGTATCTTTCCAAGAAAAGCATTGGATCCAAAAGAAAATAGAATTTATATGACATATCACTAGTAAAATATTGGTATCTTTCCAAGAAAAAAAAAATTGAATCCAAAAGAATAAGAAAAAAAATAGTAACAAATTCAAACAAACTTTCACTTTTGATTTTTGTTTTATCCTCCGGTTCATAAAAGTTACATGGAGACATTTGCCACACCAACAAGCACCACGAAGCTGAAACTCAACAAGCCACGTACATTTCATTTCCATACGTAATCGCGTTATTATCATAAAATCTACACTAAAAAAAAATTGAAATAAAAAAAGAGAATAATTATTTGACGATAACTTAAATTCCAAAGCCAAAGAGTGCTCTTATCTGGTGAAAGATCAGCTCTCTCCACCCCCTCTCAGTAGTGTCAACTGTAGAATATCCAAACCTGAAGGTAAAAAACATAATGAGATAATGTTTCAGATTTTAATGATTTCAATTGGACGCTTACACATCTACTGCAGATAGGAATCAAATCAGATGAGTAAAGATAAGGAAATAAAGGTAACCTATCCTGTTCAGGAACACCATTCTGAGTCAGTTTTACAACGGCGACACCAGGCTCTGGTTCATCAAAATCAAGCCTAACCTGCATTTACCAAAATGGCCGACGTTTCAATACTAATTGACAATAAGCCACATTATTATTCAAATTAAAAGCCATCTCATCACCGTGGAATGGATCCCATCAGCCCAGCTACTGAATCTCCATTTCTGCACAATTAGTTTCCCTTCCTGCAACTCTTCGTTTACCCCAGTGATTGAGCCATCAATAAGGCTAAACTGACCCCCAATTTCCTTGTTAATCCTTGCGTTACTATGCGTAAACCCTTTCCACCTGTTCTCATCCATAAGCATCTCGTAAACATCCCTCGCCCTGCATCTAAACCTCTCAGTCATCGTGATAGTCTTGAACCCCTCTTTTTCACTATTCTCCTTCTTTCCAGCGTTTCCCGCAGCTAGCTGACTTGCTGGGGCACCTGTTGCAGGATTTCCTGCCACTGCAGTAGCCAATTGTGGCTTCTCGGAGGCTAAAGGAGCTTTTCTAAGCTCTAGCTCGTTCTTGGCCGGGCCACCCTTCGACATAGCCTGCACGTAGGACCGAATTTTGTCAAGAATCACCGGCTTTCCCTTGGCAATAAAGGCTTCCTTGATCATGCGGCCGATCGGGCCGTCGCCATCGCCATCACGAATAACGATTTTGAGCTCGGGGTCCTCACCAGCGTTCTCATCAGCGAGGTAAGGGACCTCGACGGATCCCGTAATGCGTAAAAGCTGCGCGGCGCCACCTTCTCTGCTATCGGAGTCACTTCGGGTCTCTGCCTCGAAAGAGAGAGAGATGGAGAGCTCATAGCCGGGGATGGCCTTTCCCTTCCTGACATTAACATAGGCCTCACCTTCGAGTTTGTCGAGAGTTTTGGTGCGAATGAAAATGCCACCATCGCCTTCAAGGATGGTGAGGTCGGAGAGGACAGATGAGAGAAATGTGCGAGACCACTCGAGGCAATCGCGTTCCACCCAGTGCCAGTTATGGACATTCCTGCCGTCCGATCGTTCGGTCACGATCCATCTCTTGTCGCCCTGGCCATACTTCGCCATGGCCACTAGGGTCTCGAGATGTAGTGAGAGATGACGGCGAGATGTTGGAGTAAATGAAGAACGAAGGAGATGGACTATGCGGATGGATCCGCGGGCAAGATCCCATGATAAAAATGCGTGGACTTTCTGGACTCTTTGAACTGGAAATTTCTGACAAAGAATGGAGGTTCTGTACATGACATGAAGATATTAGAAAATTGTGGGGAAAATGTTTAACAATCTTATTAATTAAAATAAAAAACTCTTTCTAATCATTTTAATTCACTCTTCAAATTATATTTCTGAATAACATTATTATAAGTATTTGAATTAAAACTTTTTAAAATTAAATTTAGAGCCATTATAATTTCAATTTCTCAAAACTTTTAGTCATAATGTTTCAATAAGATAAATCTATCAACATGAAAAGTATGGGTGTCATGCAAAGTAAGTTTTCAGATTGGGTTTGAGTCCAATCCTAAATTGATTTGCCTTCAATTGCTTTGACACAAACTTGACCGAATTAGACAAGCAGGTCAAAAATTCAGACCTGATCCAACCCACCCTAACCCAAATTGACCCAACCCAACCCATTAACTTGCGAATGTGCGCGAGGTGCGAGCGCAAGTGCGAGCGGCGTATGCGAGACTATGAGCACTAACGCGATCGAGTTGCGGGGGCTTTCGCGGTGTGGTGCAGGATGGGGACCAGGGTCAATTTTTTGGGTTGCTTTCAAGTTTTCGAGCTAACCTGAACCCGACCCAAAATTAGAAACAGTTTAAAACATGAAACCCATGGGTCGATCCAAACCTAAAAATTTTAGGTTAGGTTTAGGCCGAGTTTTTTGGTCGTGTCAAATATTGACAAATATTGACATCCCTTGCAAAACGTGATATGATTCAACTCCAAAAGAGTTAAATCAAGCACATGAGACGTAATTGAAAATTTCAAGATATTAATTAATGGAGAAATAATCTCCAAATCTTACATGCATATAGTCAAATTGAACATCTCAACGAACTTAGCTTATGAGTTATTTATCGAGTTAAGCTTGAATCAGCTCATAAATCAGCTTGACTCAATTACACCCTTAATCATTATATTAGAAAATAGTTTGATCTTGAAATTACATACATGTTTGCATAGAAGGTAGAACTTGGTGGCTCTCCTAAATTAGAACTTTGGTGACTATTCCATGAAATAAGTTTGTATTATTCCTTTTATAATGGATGGAGAATGTGATTTTATTTATATAATTGTATGTTCTTTTTCATGATTTTTTTATTTATATCCTCTATCCCCACCACTCAATTTTCATATGCTTAAACTTAGGCTTCGTTTGGGATGGCTTTCTTATTGCTTCTTAAAGCAGCTCTCTTTAAGAAGCATTAAGAAAGTTATCCCAAATGAAGCCTTAGCTTTCATATATTATGGCTAAGATCTACATGTAACTTAGTGATGGCTATGTGAGGCCTCTTGATGGGATTGATGGCTAAAAATCTTATGGATATGTACTTTAATGTATGAGGATATGATATGAGTTTTCAATAGGAATGTAAATTCATTAAAGTTAGGGAAGATGGAATATTATGACTAGCTCAAATTGGGCTAGTTAGGACTAATATTGAATATATCTTTAAGGAATGAGTTTGAAGTTTTTAAAGAATACCTAAAATTAGGTTAGTTAAGGATGTGAATATATGATTTGAAATAGTTATAGAAGTTTAATGGAGTTTAAGACTTTATTCAGGTGTGCGGAACATGACTAGGTTTTGTCTAGAGACTACAAGAGTAGTTTGGAGTGGTTTTGTGGATTTAATGGTGGATGGCTTGCCTTTAGAGGTTATTAGGTTGTGGAAGAAGATGTGAGGAAAGCTTAGAGTAGAGGTTAAGCAGAATAACAAATAAAATTAAAGATCATAAAGATAAATATCAATCTCATTAAAGTGATAAAACTTAGACCACCAAGTACCTGACAAAAAGAAAGAGTTTTGCCAAAGTAACATGAAAAATAAAAAATAGAATAATTTCATTATATAATAGCCAATATATATAAGTATTATGTGATTGTTGAACTACCCTCATTTTAAATAAAAAGAAGGAAAAGAGAAAGGTGGGGGTTGGTTATTAATGGAAGGAGTTCCAATATATATAGGGGGTTATTATTCCAATGCAATTCCTTCCTTAAATGGCTAGAATATGTATCCCTATGGGCAAAAAATGTCTTGAGTTTAATTTTTCTCTAAGAAATTTAAATTCTTGAGCTTCTTCAATCTTAGTTAAGTTCTTGGCTTGTTCCATAGAAGTCGACTTGTTTTCGCGCGTGCGCGCGCGCGAGAGAGAGAGAGAGAGAGAGAGAGAGAGAGAGAGAGAGAGAGAGAGAGAGAGAGAGAGAGAGAGAGAGAGAGAGAGAGAGGGAGAGGAGAATATAAATTTTTAATCAAAGTGGCCTTATTGTCCCCCATGAGCCTTAACTCATATCACATGTTTTGATAACTACTAATATAATTTGGTTTAATCATTAATGTAATTGTTCTAAACTAATACATTAGTTGTAAGAATTAGAACTAATAAGTGCAAGTGTACAAAAAGACAAAATTCACATAACATGGAACCAAGATGACTCAAGCAAGGGTTTTATCAAACCCTACCCCGAGGAAAAAAATAAAGTAATTAATATCAAAGTATCAAGTTTAGTTAAGGGTGATCCAAACTTAAACGCATAGGAGTCGAGCCATAAATTATACCTATTTTATCTTTTTATAGTGCCGTTTCATGCAAAAAAAAAATTGTGAACCTACTAGCTCGCACACTCTAAAGTTAGTGAAGAAAATAATTCTAAAATCTTATCTTAAAATAATAAAAATATATAGGCCAATATATATTAAATCATATTGTTCAATCATAATCATATTGTATGATCAGTGTTAATTTCAAATAAATAACTATCATAAGATTAATTTTTAATTAGATTAATTTAAATTTTAAAGTAATCATATTATACGATGCATATCATATTGTATGATTTTTTTTTAATTAATTTAAGTAAGCAATGAAAACTAAGTGGTTAATACATGCAAATTTGGCATAGCTAACTACAGAGTATGATGCCAACAATCTTGGATAATTAAACCAATTTTACTTTTCATGATATTTTGGTATTTAACTTAATCATATTTATAATTATAGGATCATAATATTTGATTTGTTTGCATTTTCTGGTTAAGCCTGCCTTAGGATTTTACTTATGAGCACTATTTATGTATACCTCTCTAAAAATTCTAAAATTTATTGGAGACTAAAAATTTTGAGGAGAACAGTGGTTTGAAAGAGAGCACTTCATGCTTTTGATTTGGAAACACTAAGTGATAAATCTTTTAAGACCCTATGTGTAATAACGCATATTTTAACCCATTTAAATAATTTTTTTAATGAGTCATTATAAATCCAAATGACAAATCATCTTTGCCATAACATAGATATTGTAGTAATTTAATTATATTAATTTTTTCATAGTTTTTTTTTAGCACTGGTGCTAATAGTTAAAAAATTGACAGTTGTCGGTACAAGCGAGAGTTTTGGGACTATCAAGTGTACTTTTTGAAAATCAATTTCACCAAAAAATTTTTAAATAAATTATGTTATTTTATTGATATTTCTCTATAATTTTTGGAGTCTCAAAGAATTTATATTAATTTTATATTGAAAACTGAATAATCTTCCAAATTAGATTATGGGGCATTATAATTGGTATCAAAGCATAGTTATTTGAAGAATTGAATTATTATTAGAGTTATAAAAAATTAATTATAAGTTGGGTAGATTGGGTAAACTAAGTTGCATTATTTTGCATCCATAATTGATTGCATGGGTGAATTGTTCAGTTGTTCACCAACTAAAATGGATATACTAGAGTAAGATACACTAAATGAGCTACACAGTGTGGCTCCAATACAATCAGACATTATTATGGAGCTGTTTAATGTGATAACGTAACTAATGGTTGATACTCAGAGCAAACCATCAGGGACTAAGGAAGAAAAGGGGAAAAACATTTGCATGTATTTGATAAGCTAAAGCCCCCACTGTTCAAAGGAGCTGTAGGACTGGGTTCCCAGGTTGCAGAAGATTGGTTTCTGAGGATAAAAAAGATCATCGACAATATGTAGTGTCCAAAGAATAGGAAGGTACCATTGGTTATGTTTCTCTTTGAAGGAGAGGTTGAGAGATAGTTAATTGGATAACATAAAGAGAAATTCCATGAAAAGATTAATATTGAGATTATGTGAGATGAATTCACTACAATGTTCAGGATGTAGTTCATACCTCCATCAGCCTGATGACAAATGTAGGAAAGTTTCATTAAATTGGATCAGGGATGAAAGACTGTGATACAGTATGAAGCTGAGTTTATTGCACTTGTTAAATATGCTCCCCATTTGATTCCTACTGTTGAAGAAAAGTGCTATAAATTTTTTGCAATGATTGAATAGGGATTTGATATATCCATTAGTTCCTCTACGAATTCTTTTTTTTTTTTTTTTAATGAGTTGATGGAGCAAGCTAGATTGATTTAGCAGTACTGACATCTAGGCTTGATTAGATATCCATAAATGATGTTAACAAGAGAAGGACCATGGATGAATCAAGCAGAGATAGAGAAAGTGTTAGTGATAAGACAAGCATATATAGTTATTTGAGGGAATATGGATCGATAGCATTTGTAAGCAGTTATAACTATAGTGAATGTGTTCATTGTAGAGGATGACACACATGATAGTGTTACTTATTTACATGATAATATTTTTTATTCTAACAACATGGATGAGAAGCAGTAGATTGTCCAAAGAGAGGAACTAAAACATATTATGGACCAGAATAGACCAAAAAAATTGAAGGACAGAGAACTGTATAATCATGATCATATAGTAAAAGATAAACCAACAAAGCAAATGATAAAATCGTTAGTGGTGGTTAGAGGGAGTTTGTTGCACATGGATTAACAACACTGACAACACACACTGATAACACCTACTCTAATAATGCCATGAGTGTACAACTTGTAGTATTTGGAGGACCAATAAAAACCTGAGAGTTCTGTTGGTAATAAGTTTATTTTAAATGATTTGCATGACATAACATATCATAAATAATTAAATGACATATGATAGAATGAAATGCATTACTGTATGATTTCTTAAGAAGTTTTGATTTGAGTTTTAATAGTGCAAATTTGGTTTATATTGATTTTGTGCCCAAATCATTTAGGGAAAATGTCAAAGATGATATTTTTTTTAAGATTGGTATATTATAATAGCTTATATTTTAATCCAGTCAAATAATTTTTTTTGGAGTTATTATAAGCCCAAATTATAAACCATCTTCACCATAAAATAGATATTGTAGTGATTTAATTACATTAATTTTTTTCATAATTATTTAACACTTGTGCAAACCCTTAAAGAAATTGATAGTTGATGATAAAAGTGGAGATTTTGGGACCGTCAGGTGTTCATTTTATAAACAGATTTTATCAAAAAAAAGAGAGGCTATTTTATTGATATTTTTTATAATTTTTTATGTCAAAAAGATTTATATGAATTTTATCTTAAAATTTGAATAATTCTTCCAAATTAGATTATGGAGCATCACATTATGCACCCATTTTATTTTCATTTTTCTTCTACCTCAATCCTCCAATATTTTGTTATTATTTGTGGAGAGCTATTGCTTCATTCATAACTAAACAAAAGTCAATAGGAATTGCTTTAAGGGTAGGACCCCTAACCTATTATATATATTTTATTTTTAGTGTTTTGCATAGAATAATGGAAAAATAAGCCCATGCAAGTTTGAAGCCAAATCATATGAGACTGTATTTCTAGGATATTCAAAAAGTTGTATAAGGTTTTTAATGAAAGATCTCTAATAGTTAAGGAATCTACACATTCCACTTTTGATGAATCTAATATTTATAGTTGGCTTGAAGTAGTAGAACTAGAGGATGATGTGTTATCCAACCTTAAAAAATTAGATCTATTAAAGAGGAAATATAAGCATGACATAGATAATGGTAGTTTTCATAGTCATTCCAAATAATTGAAGATCCTTATGATGGTGTCATAACTAAAAATGCACTTTGTAATCACACTATGTCCCTTATAATAGTAGAGTTCAATATGCTTTGGTAGATAAATTTTAAATTGTGCAAAAAGAAATGAATTAATTTTTTTGTAATGATATGCAAAAATTAATGCCCGTACAATCTAATCAAAGAGTAATTAGAACTAAATGGGCTTTTAAAAATATATTAAATGATTCTAAATCAATTGCTAGAAATAAGACAAGATTAATTGTAAAAGAGTTCAATCATATAGAAGGAATTAAATTTGAGAACAACTTTGCACCTATAATTTCCCCTCCAATAGGAACAATTATTAGATCCTGACATCGGACGTAGCTTTACATCCGGAGACCAATAACATGTCGCCACGTGCTCTTACTCTTTACCGCGCGGCCCGACGAAACGACCCGGATCGGAACACGGTATTGTTATGTTCGCGTATTGCTAGGTATTGCTTGACAATAATGAGAAATACTTCTCTGTCAAGACTAATACCAGGTAATACCTAGCAAAATCGGGGTATTGCTCGGTATTTCTAGGTATTTGTCTTCATAGAATGATAATTCTCGTTATTGCCGAGGAATATCGAGCAATACCTAGCAATATCTGCGCAAATCAGCCAATACATAGCAATCCCGGGTCCGGTCCGGGTCGAGTCGTCGGGCCACACGGTAAAGAGTAAGAGTACGTGACACCATTTTACTGAACATAGAGCTACGTCAGGACACCGGATCAAATAAAAATTCCTCCAATAGAGCAAAAAAAAGTGGAAGAGGAGCCCGAGGGATTAGGAGGAGCTAGGGCATCCTCGAGCGCAAGGAAGACGGTTTTATCCATGAACGGCATCCTTGATGCTTCCTTTATAATATGAAAAAAATAAAATAATAAAATAAAACCGACAGCCGTACGCCATCAGCGAACCCACTAATAACTAATGAAAAAGAAATCCATTTTCACCACGCGATGGCTGCTCCACTCTGAATCCTCAGTCCAACCTACGCAGAGCCGCGAAGGACGGAAGGAGGCTTCCGCTCGCTTCTTCTCAATGTCCTCCTCAGCCCCCTCCCCTCATCCCCCCTGCTCCACCTCCGCCTCCTCCCGCCTCCACCCCCTCACCTTCTGGTGCCACGAATGCGATATGAGCGTTTCCCTCCTCCCCTCCCCTTCCCCTCTCCCTTGTCCTCATTGTCGCCGCTTCGACTCCCTCCTCCCTCTCGACTCCATCTCTCCTTTCTCTCTCTCTCCCTTCTTTCCCTCCCAACACTCTCCGGATCTCCCGTCCCCAAACCCTACCCCCGATTCCGCCCCCGATGACTCCATCGCCGCCATCCCCAGCGTAGAGATCGCCGAAACGGCCGCCGTTTGCGCCATCTGCAAGGACGACCTCCCTCGAGGATCCTTAGCTCGTCGCCTCCCTTGTTCCCATCACTACCACTCCGACTGCATCGTGCCCTGGCTTTCGCTCCGTAATTCTTGCCCTCTTTGCCGCTCCGCGATTCCATGCTCCCGCCGCCCCCGCGCACAGCGGTTCCGCATCCGCGTGTTGGAACCCGATGATGTCGATGTAGATGCCTCGTTCCGCCAGATCGAGGTCTCGCCAACGCAGATGGGTCTAGAGGAGACGGGATCGATGGACCCGGCGAATAGCGGGGAGACGGTTACTTCAGAATGGCCCGTGGGCAGGGGGTGGGCTTTTGAACAGGAAGATGAGTTAACTGATGTGATAATGTCGGATGTTTGGGATGATTTGTTCGCTTGAATTGGAGGTATGGCTCTTGATGTGGTATGATTAGATTGAAATTTTTGTTGTGATCAGTATGTTTGTTTATAGGTTAGTGTTAACATACAGGTAAACTGGAAATTTGTTTTAATGGTATTTAGGATTTGTTAGAGCAAAGACTGCTTTGTTTGCTAAGTGTTGGCTTTGTTTCCCTCTGTAATCCACAACTGTTGGATGGAGAAAATGTTGTCACATGTTCCCGGCAAGAGTTCTGTTTTCCATATGAGTGATTCGCAAAAAACTTTTATCCATTCATATTTTTAATTTTATCGATGGTTATTGTATTAGTGTCCATCTAGTTTTACTGTGCCAGCTTTCATTTTGAAGAGGAGCATGCATTATTAAGTTGTATGTATGGCCTGCAAAGTTATAATTAATATGAGTGTACCCTCATGTACTTAATTTTTTATTCTTTTATTGTTTTTTGCTTATGATTTTGGATACTTTTCTGATGATAAGCACTGCATAAAAATTAGTTTCCATTTTTAGTTCCTAAATTTATCTTTTATATTGTTTACTCGTTGGCTTATTTAGAGTTGAGGAATGTGGTTAGTTTCCCAAAAATCTGTTATGGCACTTCTCAATCTCTATTAATTATATTCACTGATTGGAACTTAATTGAATGGAATTTGCAGGAGATGGAATCATAATGGGAGAAGCTATACTTGAATTTATAGTAATAGATATAATTTTCTAATAATGAATACAAATTTTAAGAATTGAAAAGAGCACTTAATTATTCAAAAATGGAGTCATCCAATCACAAATATATTTCTTTTTACCTATAAGAAAAAGCAAATTATTTCTTCTAGAGATTATAAGAGGATTTCTAGAAGAAATTTGACTATTAAACATAAAGTAGAAGTTATGAATATTTATCGTAAAAGTATTAAAAAAAAAAGATAAAAAATCTCCCCAGGCATAAGATGGTAATGCTTGAAAGATGATGAGTTATTAATTTTTCAAGATAGGTTGCTATGAGCAGCTTTAGAATTCTTTAGTTAAGCCAAACTTAATATTTGATAAAATTGCTGGCTCCATTAAGATGTTTTTCACAAAAGTTTTGTTATATTCTAAAATTAGATCTCACATTGGTAGAAATACTTGATAGTAGATAATTATTAAGGGAAAGAAATATGCTTTTAAAACAATGGCATAATATATTAATATTGAGAAATAATAAATATAGGAAAGGTAACAGGTCTTGTTAGGAGTTTGAAGATTAAAGTAAAGGGCCTAAAGGCTATAGCTTTTGATCTATAGAATAATCTATGCTCTAATGGGAAATGGGGTTAAATAAAAGAACTAAGATAAGAGTAAGATATTTAAAACCTTTGATCAAGTTAGATATAGTTGAAGTAAAGATAATACTAATATGTTAGTTAAAAATAAAGACTTTAAATTTAGATGCAAATGTTATTTTGTGAAATTATTAAATGATATGATTAAGGAAGAAATCATTTTTGGAAGAATATAATGAACATGATAATGCAACAAATATTTTTAATAAATATTATAATTTTTTGGTTGAGAAATCTGATGAAATAACTGGAAAATTCGAATGATTTAGAAAATGTTTGGAAGACAAAATGACTATGACTAGTGGAGCAAAGATTGAATATATTTATGTAATTTTAGCCAAAAAGTTATTGACAGTTATTAATCAATATTGTTAATAAGGTGATACTTTTTAGTGAGATAAATTTAATTAGGTTAGATCTAATATATAGGATAATGAGGATACAGATTCTAGAGTTAAATACGTGTGGTTAAAATGAAAACAAATTTCAGGAGCATTATTTGATTAGAAAAATATAACGGAGACTTAAAGATTATTAATAAAATCATAGTTATGAGAGTTATGTTGTATGGTCTAAATGTTAGATTATAGAAAAATTAGTAATAGCCAAGTTGGGATTGTTAGAATTGAGGATGTTAAAATGGTTCTAACAAAAATAAGAAATATAGATTGAAGAATAATTATATTAAAGGGGTGATATTAGAGCAATCTATTTAAGTAAAATAGTATAGAATAAACTCGACATATTTGAGCATGCTAAGAAGGATAGGAAAAATGCACCATATAGACGTTTTTGCAAAATTAGTGTGAAATAGGAAGCAAGGGTGTAAACCAAAGGTAATATGGATTGAATTAATGTTAAAAAAATTGCATGGAATAGTTTTGAACCTCATGCAACCTTTAGTAGAAACCACTGAAGAATGAGGAATTATGAAGCCAACCCCTAGTTAGGATAAGACTAAGGCTTCGTTTGGGATGACTTTCTTCCTGCTTTTTAAAGCAGCTTTTTAGTAAAAAAAAATTAATTTTTGTACTAAAAAGTTGTTTTAAGAAGCAGTAAGAAAGCCGTCACAAATGAAGCCTAAAGTTGATGAAAGAGCCCGGTTGTGCTTACATGTCTTGAGTTTTTCGTGAGAGTTTCTACGATATGACTTAAGATGATGATGATTGTCTTACTGATTCTGCTAGAAGCTTACTTATAAATATCAATATTCTTATTATTCCACCTCCAAAATAATTTGTTTTTCGTGAGGCAAAAAGCCACTCTAGAATTGCACGGGGAGATGCAAGACTTGAAACACATTTATGAAGAATCAATAAAGCATTACCACTGATATGATTTAAATAGTCTCCTTTGATCATAGTGATTTGTCGTGTGCCCATGTTGGTTTTCATCAGTCTTTGGTTATTTTTTCCGTAATCATGAATAGAGCAAGATTGGATAGATACACACCAACTGAGAAATTATTTTGTGCAGAGTCCGGACATGAAGAACCATCCAGATTGTTACGTATTTACTAAGTATTTTCTGTATATTTGTAAATACTCATCAAATACTCAATACATACAAAACAAATCAGCAAATGCTTAGTAAATACTCAGCAATACTCATAACTGAGTATTTGCTGCGTATTTGTTTGCCGAGTATTTATAAATACATAACAAATCCGAACTCTTCTCTCCATCCGAACTCCGTACAGAAAAATTTCTCCACCCAGCTTTGTCATTCACTTATATTTATATGATTCTTTTCTGAACTCCTGAGGAGAACCGCTCTTGCTTATTAACTTATTTATGATATGTGCGCATAAAACCTAGATACCAAGTAATCTGTTTATTTATCATGGTTCTTATTCAGATATTTTCTTTGTGCAATTTGCATCTTCTTCCTTTTCTGCCTAGTGATTGATGCATAGCAAATGTTGCCTTGCAGAGGACAATGAAACAATGAAGACTTGCTCCCTTGATTCATTTGGATTTTGGTCTGCTGCTACATTGCTATACCGCCTAAGTTTGTGCATTATTGTTTTATCTACTGCACAAGCCAATTGCCATTCAAAATAACACTGCTACTTCCCTCCCTATTTAAAATTATAAGCCTCTCTCAAGTTGAATAAAGCTTAAATTTACCTGATCTCGTTCATTTCTTAAGAGTCTGTCAATAAGAATACATTGTCTTGCTGATTCTGTTCAGAACTCTTACTTCTCAAATATTTTATGCTGTCATTTTTCTACTAACAAAATGATATGCTTTGCATGAGATAGAATGCCACTGGAGACAATAAAATACATTTATGAAGAGGTAATGAAGCAGCACCAATTAGTTGGTTTTATATATAAAAGGAGAGCAATGTATGATGATACCAAATATATTAAATGGCTATGATCTCTATTAATTTTGCTTTAGTTGTGTATAGAGGGAGGACAGTTATAGCCTACACGTGTAAAATTTATTTTTTAATTATTTAAATGATATTGAATAAAATAATATTTTATACTATAAATATAATATATTATGTATGTTGTATATTTTGACTTCATTTGAGATAGCTTTATTACTATGTTATTTTTTTGGGTTACAATCATAGATTTGTTTGTCCTTTATTTTTTCACACTATTTTCGATAGATATTTATACTTGAAAATTATATATATTAACTTTCAAAATAGTTGCTTTATCTACAACATGTTTATAACCAATTTTATAAAAATTACATCCATTCCAAATGGACTCTTAAGCTTCGTTTGGGATAGCTTTCTTATTGCTATTTTCTAGTACAAAAATTAAAATTTTTTGTACTAAAAAACTTCTTTAAGAATCAGTAAGAAAGCCATCACTTGGGCTTTGTTTGGAATGATTTTTTTATTGCTTTTTAAAACAGATTTTTAGTATAAAATTTTTGTATTAAAAAGTTATTTTAAGTAGTAAAAAAGCCGTCATAAATGAGAACAATTATTAGGTCAGGTGACCTGACGTAGCTCTATGTTCGGACGTCAATAACATGTTGCCACGTGGTCTTACTCAATACCGCGCAGCCCGACGACTTAACCCGGGATTACTATGTTCATGTATTGCTCGGTATTGTTAGGTATTAATCGGTATTGCTAGGTATTGCTTGACAATAATGAAAAATATCGCTCTATGAAGACCAATACCGAGCAATACCTTGATATTACTCGGTATTGCTTGGTATTGGTCTTCACAGAATGATATTTCTCGTTATTGCAGAGCAAAATCAATCAATATCGAGCAAATACAGAGCAATACCAAGCAACACGCGAACATTGCAATCCCGTCTCTATTTCGGGTCGGGGTTGTCGGGCCGCGCGGTAAATAGTGAGAACACGTGGTACTATTTTACTTGCGTTCGAACTAGAGCTACGTCAGGTGACCGGACCAAATAAAAGTTCCCTAAATGAAGCCTTAGTCTAAAAAGATCGTTTACGGACCACTTTAGTTGGGTTTTTTTTTTTTTTAGAATAAAATTATATTATAAAAAATTATTAATTTAAAATAGATTAGAACAGAAAATATAGATAAATAGGGTACAATATCAACGGTGAATGAGAGGACATTGTAATGTAGGAAGGTTTCTTACAAAAATTCAAACTCAAATATACTATTTGAATTTTAGCTCATTGATGTTTATAATTAGCTTCAGTTAAAACGTCTCAAATATATGGTTGTTGCTGAATTAGTACGAGCGAGGGTAATGTGGTTGCTTCAGATAAGGACTAATAATATTTACAAGAAAATAGGGTAAACGATTTCCTTCATCATTTGTTAGTTCTTTAGGGATCAAAAAGTCCCCGTGTGGGGTTGCTTTGCTTCACCCGCAAATCTTTTTTGGTTAGGGAGAGAATGAAATAAAGTGAAATTTTAAAAATAGCGATAGTTACAGTGATTTTGGTGTTATTATATATCAGTCATTTTAATTGATGTAATAATGATTTTAAATAATGACTTTTTTTGTAGTGATTATTATGAGGCGATTTGAATATCATCTATAATAATTTTACCCCAAAAAAATATCATCTTTAATAATGATAAAGCCAGCAAGTATACAGTTCAAAATTAAACTTTATTTTCTTTTTTTTTTCTCTCTTTTCATG